CAGCCTTCCTTGTAGTTGTGTGACCTAAGCCTTTGTACATCCCAACAACCCCTTCTCTGAGTAGTGACAAGACGAAGGAGCTGAAGGTCTTTGGCGCATGTTATAGAGATACATTCCTCCACGTGCAGAGGATCTACACAAGACCTTTGGACCTCCAAAAGTCAGTTTTGTTATTGTTTAGACCTTGTCAGAGTTCTGTTTTACAGTTCCATTCTGCAGTTTAGAATAGTTGTTACTGTATCAGACACTTAGGAGAAAAAAATCAGACCAAGTCTTGTGTCCAAAGGGCCAGCAAGCCTAGCAGTTGTCTGATAATTCCTTCTACTGCTCTGCCCCAACTTCTCTTTCTCCCCAGGTGCAGCAAAGAGCGGAGGAGTGTATCAAAGCTCTTAACCTCATTCTTAAAATCAATTCAGGAGAGGAAGTAATGAACGTACTAAATTCAAACTTTGACTGGAATAGCTTAAAGGTTAGTGAAAGGCGGTGACTGCATTTTGTAAAATGCCTAATAATGCTTCTGGTTTCCCTCTTCCATTTCTAAACTGGTTCCTGTAAACTGTTCTGAAGATCACACTGTAGATCTATGAACATATTATCAGGTCATCCCAAGCTGGATAGATAGTAATGGAGCTGAAATGATGCTCTTCTTGCTTCAATAGGATCTATTGCCTAAAAAATTATTCCCTTTAAAAAAAAAAAAAAATAGTTTGGGAAAGAGTCTCTTACAGCACCTGGATTTTTTTGACAGGATTCTGTTGATACTAGCAGAATAGCTGTGATGGGACACTCTTTTGGTGGTGCTACAGTTATTGAAAGTCTCAGCAAAGAAATAAGATTCAGGTAAGTATGCAAAACAAGGCAAAAGACATTTGGTACTTGAGAGGTCTGGAACAGGGGAAGAAAAGTTTTGTTTGGCATGGCCTGTTTTCTCAAGTCATGCTTCCTTCAACTGTGGGGATAGTAGCTGTATCATATTATATCGTGATACTGTGGGACCCTGCAGAAGCTCCTGTGCCCAGCTGCACGTGGCAATGGAGACTGACAAATGCAATAATGGATTAATTCTCTTCCCCCAGAGTAGAAATAATTTCAAACCAAAATGATTCATTAACCTGTTTACCTGTTCAGTATCATAGAGAGTCACTCTTTCCCATGTCTCCTGCAAATCAAAGCATGCTGAGAACTTCCATACAAAGCTTTCTGCTTCTGTGACCATATCCAGTTGTTTCTGGCAGGTGTGGCATTGCCCTCGATGCATGGATGCTTCCAGTAGGTGATGACATTTACCAAAACAGCGTCCAGCAACCGCTGCTTTTTATCAACTCTGAAAAATTCCAGTGGGCTGATAATATCTTAAAGATGAAGAAGCTCGGCTCCAATGACACAAACAAGAAAATGATCACTATCAAGTAAGTGTCCAGGATCCATAATTTCTGTGGTTGAAGATGAATCTTTACTCTCTTGTTGGAGCTGTTTGGTTACATGTAACTGCAGAAAGACAGACAGTCACTACTTCCTCATGGCCCAGGTTTTCACTGCATGTTTAAATTAGACAGCGATAAGTCCCCCACAGTGGAGACAGAGACCTCTCTCAAAGCAGCCAGTAACCCTAACTTTAAGATACTCCAAGGTGTGTATTCCTGCCTTGGGGCACAAGTTTTGCTCTGGGCCTCATGCATCATCTGTGTTTGAACACTTTAAATAGCCTTCTGGGTGCAGTTACGCACTCACCTAGTGAAAGCACTGCGTACAGGGGAGCAGATGGCTTTATAATCCACCTTAGAGCAGAGAGACAACTGGATGTTGAAGTTTTGCCAAGCCTACTCTTTATTGCCATTGCAGTTGTAGTGACTTAACAGTAAACATGTTCAAAACTTCCTCCCTTCTGTGGTTAGGACAGAATTTACTGCTCATCTTGCATGCTTATGAGATTAACCTGTTTTGTCATCTGCTAAAGACGACAGCACAAGATGTATGACTGTCTTTGAAGAAGTCTGTGCAACCCATGGCATCTTTTAATCAGATGACTGCATTCTTATAAGCCTGTTGATCACCGTTCTATTTGCAGGGGGTCAGTACATCAGAGCTTTCCTGACTTCACCTTTGTGAGCGGAGGAATCATTGGAAGATTTTTCAAATTAAAAGGAGAAATAGATCCAAATGAAGCTATTGATATAAGCAATCATGCTTCATTAGCCTTCCTGCAGAAACATTTGAGTAAGTATCTGTTTACATCAAAGTATGAAGTTAAATTAATACTTAATTCCTATGAAGCTTTTTATATAACCATTCTGTTTAGAACAAGATCAAGTGTGTCACAAAAGTTTAAGCAGAAAAAACAGTCAGACTCTTTTTCTAGAGGTTTGTTAGTTACTTTTGTAATCTAAGCAATTCAGAGGAGGAACACTGCAGTTTTGTTCTAATACATAAACACCTGGAGTGCCACTTTTGCCTCCTTAAAACATCATGCCTCCCCTACTTTGCCAAGTTGATTCATCTGTCCTATAATTTAATTTTTCAGTGTAACTTTACAAAAAGCTGACTACTTAATGCGTTACCACTTGGGTTTTCTTTCCCCCATTTTATAGGTCTTAAGAAAGATTTCGATAAGTGGGATTCTCTTGTGGATGGCATAGGACCCAATGTTATTCCTGGTACCAATATTGACTTATCTCCAGCTGAACCGGAATAAGGAATACAAAGAAATACTGAAAATGCCACGGACATCAGGACACTAGTGTTGGCCAGACATTGCTCAGACCTGTATTAGCACTGGCGACCTACACAGCTTTTGGGCTATGGCACAAAAAAAAGATAAGGGATGAGGTTACATTATCATGAAACTGTAGAGAGGCTTTAGTTCAAATGAGGTAGTGGGATTCTCTGAAATACTGCAACAGGGTAACTTCTGCTTTATAGGCAGTTGGGGGAAAAAAAAAAAATAAATCACATGATGGTCATTTAAAGGCTTTTTCTAATTTTGACTTAGAATCAAGTTTGCAGAGAGAGAGATTAAGCTCCAAGGAATTCAACTAAAGTTCTGCTTACCAAGCTTGAAGTCAGTTTGCATCCAGCAAACCTTTTCTGCAGTGTAAGAAAAAAAAAAAATCTTCAATTTGTTATTAAACTACTTAGTATTTCAGCTATGCTCTGACAACAGTTGAGAGTTGGAGCAGGTTTTTTGCTCCTTCTAGTTAGAGAGGTGCTAGTGGAAGGTCTTCAAAACTGTCTTATTTTAATAAGAATCACAGTAAAAGCTACAGGAAATAGTTTAAGGTAACAGCAGAGAAAGGTGTTTGTTCAGACACAGGACTTCTCATATGAACTTAATCCACTTACATTTAAGATCTGTATTTACTGCCATATTCAGAGGATGTTTTCATTCCAAAAGCTGCTGAAATGGTCACTCTTGTTGTAGCAACTGTAATTCCCCTTAGGCAAAGCTCCAAGCAGTGCCTCTCTTGTTAATCTCTGTATTACCACTGTTGTAGGTGAAATTACAGAAGAGATATGTCACTTCTACCACTCCCTTTAAAAAGGGGCATGTAAGCATTGCTTGATCATCTTGATGTCTCTCATGGTTGTAACACTCTCCAGACACTCGTCTTTGTCCAGGTACTAGCACTGCTGTCTGTGTCTGTCAGTAGAAGCCGTTGACTATGTGGTTGGCCAAAGAAGGCTCTGATTTTTAGAACAAAACTCTTTGAAGTTGCCACATGGAAGGCTGACTTCTAAATGAATAAGTCTTGCAAAAGGGGGACTACTTCTAACTGTAGCCTATTTGTTTCAAATTAGGTTACAAACAAAACAACTGAAGCAAGCAGAACAAGCAAAGCAGTTAACGGTGTAATTAAACATTTATATAATCTGATCTTAACATGAGATTGCAACAACATCTAAGACTTGTTTTTCAGAATTTAATTAAATTCTCTCCAGCCTACCATCATGCATGTTGATTCCCTTAATAGAGACAATACAAGTGTTTCTGTTACCAAGTGAGCACTAACACTTGAGGTCTACTGTGATACTCAGCCAGACTATTACATTGTCAGAGATCTTGGGTTCCTAAAACATTATGGCAGCATGAAAAATCCATAGCCTCTGAAGAGGAGGAAGAACCTATGCTATACAGGAGCATGGAACAGGACTGGAAAATAGAAACCCCTTTTCAACACGAGGTGGAAAATAAAAGGTGAGATAAGCTGCATCTTTTTTAAGGAGAAGTCCTTACCACACCGGACACATGCAGCAGCAAAACCATTCTACTAGGTCTGCTTCATAGTTACAGGAAAAGCTTCGTCTTTCCTTAGTGCAATTAAGGCCATGTCATAAATAAAAGTTCTATTTTGTACATGACTCTGATGTTTCAAAGCAGTCACCATAGCTCGCAGTGCTCTAGAGAGCTGTTTAGGGTCAAAACAGAATGAGTAACTGCAGAATGTGCATAGCTACATCTAACTGCAGTAGTACAGCTGAAGAAAGATACTCGGTATGCACACAGCATATGGGCTTACGCACAGGGAAAGAACACAAGTCATTAACAAAACACTGATCAGTATATGCCAGCCAAAGCTTTATTCCAGCTTCTTCCATTGATTTATAACAGCACCAAATGCAAGACTTCAACCCAAAACAACTATGTTCCCCTACAGAGAAAAAAACTCCTCCCCTCACAAAAAAAGAAGATACCCTCAACTTTTCTTGGAGAAAAAAGAAAAACCACTTAATGCAACTTTTCAAAAAGCGTACATCAGAAAGCAGTACTGTGCAACACAGTAGCCTATACAGCAACTCACAAGAAACTTTTGTTCAAGAACCACCCACCAACAGCTAGATACGCAAGTTGGTGCACACACATTCAGTAAGGAACGCCAGTCAAGAGGCAAATTCCTATTTAAGTAAAGAAAGTACAGCTATAAGAAGCCAAGCTGACAATAACGGTCTACCAACAAGAACTATTCCTTGATGGGGAAGTATGGTAGTGACAGGCATTTGCTCAGTTACACAGAAGAAACACTCAATGCTTTGCTTGTATCCGTGTTCCCATGAAAACACATTTTCATGGGAATGTTCGTGTACACAGGTACTCTTTCAGCTTCATGGGGTGAACATGTCACTTGATTTCAGGAATGTTGGAGGACATGAGAATCTTCGCCTAGATCTGAACTGCAGCAAGTTTGCTTTTCTACAGGGAATAAAAACAGATTAGACCCATCAAGACGTTTCTATAAACATGTATAAATGCTTTAATACTTAAAGTCATAGCTCTACAAGGCTTCAGACTAGATGTCATCAACATATTGGACTACATTAAAAGACTGTACTTATGCAAAGTTATCATATAAGGGTAAGACAGTTGAAACAACAGAACTGCCCAAGAAGATTAAGCTAGCAGTGCTCCCAGATTTCAGTTACAAGTTCAAGCCACTCCATCCCTCAGTGGGCTTAGCATAAGCCACTGCAGGAGTTTTTGCATCCTGTGGATCGGGTACCTTCTACTCAAACTGCCTTTCCAGGCAGTGGCCCACATGTGCAGCAAGATCCAGTTTGTGCCACATGGTTGCATGACCTTAGCTCATGTTTTCTGTGCTGCTGCTGAGAGGCTGCATACACTAATACGGTGCAAAGCATTCAAGAACACAGACAGTGGGCAAATTTGGACAATAATAATTAGCAACCAAAGGGGAAAACCACTAAAATTAAGTGGTAAAAACTGTAAAAGTATTATCAAAACCAGAAACAAGATCAGGAATAATCCTGCATTTGAGGGAGGATTTGTAGATTCACCAGTTTAACATTTTAATCAAGTTCTTTTAATTAGTTTTTTGCCCAACAGGTAACTAGATCTCTGTTGCAGGCTTCATTATTTGTTACCTGTAAAGCAGTCAGCTTTTTGTACAGTTGTAGAAATACAATTACCAATTCAATCACTGAAGACACAAATGCTATCCCTACTTAAGCTTAGTTCAGTCTCCATCAGGCAACCACTGGTCAAACACAGGAACAAGTTGCCCAGAGAGGTTCTGGAGTCTCCATCCTTGGATGGATTCCAGACCTGAAAGGATGGTCCTAAGCAACCTGATCGAGTTGACCCTGCTTTGAGCACCTCCAAAGGTCCCTTTCAACCAGAACTTCTCTGTGATTCCACAGATTATAGAAATAGTCTGTCATCAGGAAGAACCTGTACTATTTTGGTACACAGAACAGGTGTTCGCCAGTAACACTTCAAAATTTTTAAGTAACAATAAAGATGTACATGCACTATTCACAAACTATCCTTACAACTAAGATGGTATTATTATGAGTTTAGATCTTGGTCTATGAATCTATTAAGGGATTGGGGCATTCAAATCCCAGACTACAATGCTTAGTTCAGTCTGCCTAGCAGTTGCTCACCTTGCCTCAGAAACGTGAGCAAGAGTAGCATGCTGGTTGCCCATGCTCAAAACCCTACCAAAACCCTACCAAAAAAATCTGTAACTTAGGTGTACCACCCCAGCTTGTCCAAGAGGCTCAGTCCACTAGGTTGAATAAATAAATACTAAATTTATTTCTAATCAAGACAGAGTAGCAGCTTTCACTGCATGTATGCACCATTAAACTGACAGTACGTAAGCTAATGCTACTAAGAAAATTACAACAGTATTAGAGTAAATATGTAAGTTAAGAAAAAGTTTCAACTGTATTTTCTAAAATAAAGCATTTTCTAGAAAATTAGAAAGCATCCAAACACCAAGTACACAGCCTCTTTGCGAGGTTTAAGGTAGTCTTACCTTGAAGTAAGGGCTCCTCTGGTAAGGACTGCAAGTTTTCTGTTGCAGGGGTTATTGCCTAAACAAAAGGGGATTCTGTTAGGAAGCTGGCACTATTGCCAAAATAGTTTTCCATTGAGGTTCTTCCTTTAATACTAGACTAACTTTTTACATCAGCCCTGCTGGCCTCTTACTTACCACTGTTTTCCCCCCTTATAACTCACTACAGAAGTCTTCCGCCCACTTTCCGCTTTGATGCAAAAACTGCATGTGAAGAATGAACTGGAAATTCATTCTGTTACCATCAGTAGCATAGCTGACGACACGAGTTTTGGGTTCCAGACATGAGTTTTTGCATTTATTGGTACTTCACGAAGAACACTGGTGAAAACCTTACTATCATTTCCTAATTACTTCTATTATTAAGTATTTTTCATGATTTACCAGTTAGTTACATACTGTAGTAGCGTGATCTGTCAAAAGCCACCATCAGCATTGTTCTACAGTTCTTGATTAATAGTAGTCTTCCAGTAACATTTCTTCCTTCGAGCTGTATTCACTAATCTACTCCCAGACCGAATTCACAGTCCTCAGGCCAAATGGCTGACAGTTTATATAAATCAATTTATGTAAACTATTTATATAATATCAGTTATATTTATGTATTTTATATATATATATGCAAATTTCTATAGTCTCCATAGAGATCTATTAGAGAAAGAAGGACAATATGATGTCTTAAAGAAAAATACTGTGCTTCTAGCTGTTGGCATGAATGCACAGATTTAGATTAATACTACTTTGCCTTCCTATTCTCACAGTGACACAGGACGAATCACAGCTAAACTCAGAGCGCCCTTTCTAAAAATCAGTACTGTCCTGCCCAGTCCACTACCACACCGCCATACCTCAGATGATCTGCAAGCCCAGTCAGGAATACCGTTCCAGACATTCTCAGGATCCACAATCTCCTCGTTGCCACTGGAGAGATTAAAGACCTGTACAGACAGAGCCAAATCTTATCTAGCACAGCAGTGGATCCCGAGAATACACTCAGCAAATAAGACAAAGTAGTAGGAAAACACAACTGAGGATTCCCTGCCTTTGAGAAGGCTTTCAGTCTGGACCTTCAAGGAAGAGCAAGTTAACCTCTAATAAAGCTGAATATCGCTGCTGAATCTGCTCAAGGCTCTCCTGGGCTTCTAACCCAAGTATGGTGAGAGAGGAAGGCTGGAAGACACCTACTAGATCAGAACCAGCAGGAAACTGATGAATAGGGATATCACTACATGCCTGACACTGACACTCACCTGAATACAGCTAAGGTTAGCTTTAGATACCTAAGGAATTTACTAGCAAGAGAGCTGGCTTCCATGATCTCAGGCATTCAATCTTCCAAAGAGTTACTTTTATGAATGCTCTTTTGGATTTGCAACCTTAAATTACAACTTAAAGGCCCTTTTATGTAAGTATAATGTCTGTGCATATGTGTACATACGCTCACACTCCCCCTGAACTGGAGGAAGACTTCTCATTTATCCCATAGCTTAAACAGCAGTAGAACAAGGCAGCCCATTAGATTATAATCTACCGTTAAAGTTAACTCCCACCAACCGCTAATTCAACACACATTTCACTGAAGTAGGAATAGTTGTGTATTCATTATTAATTACAGTATAATTTAAGTTTCTTCCCAAGTGTCTACTGTTCTAACACTAATTCCTCAAGACATCAGTAAAATAATGCCAGGTTTCACGGGCATTTAATGGTAACACAGCTCCAGAGCAGAACATTAACTTGCAGGCAGATAGAACCACACACATATGAATATGCATCTCAAACTGGAGCCAGATCCTTTAGTCTTTGCAGTCAATGCAGGGGAGTAAGACGTGAAGGGAATATCAAGTGTTGACATACAGCATCCACTCGGTTTGAGACACTGCTGTTTCTATGTAATCTATAGGTCCAGAATCAGCCTTTGCAATACTAAGTCTTAAATTCTGTAAGAGACTTCCGGAAAATATTCAAAGTTTGGAGGAAGACCAGAGAAGGACTGGATCTTAAGAATACAGACAGAGTATTCAAACCATACTTACCTTGGTACCTTTTTCAGATACCTCCAAAATGCGAGCCTCGCACCATTTTAGAGAAGTCCACACCACACATTTGGAACCAACAGCAAAGCCCTTCAGATTACAAGTATACTCATTGCGTTCTACAAAAATGATGACATCTCAATGAAGGAGGAAGAAAAAAAAAAGAACACACAAAAACAACCCCTCCAAAAAACTCAAATGCATCACAGCCCTCCTCCCATACTCCCCTGCCCCCCCCAAAGTATTGCACTTAAGTATTTGAAAGTTAAAAATTTGTCACCGTGAACTGGCTTGAAAATGCATTTCATGTTCAGAAATAGATTTCCAATCATAAAATCATTAACCTCTCAAAGTAAGATTAGTTGCTGTTAGACTGTCACACTATCCATGAGATACTACACTTAGTCTGATGTCCATAACCCATCAAAGCATACTGATGTTAACACTAATATAGTAACTTATTAGGGAATAAAATTTAGGTTACTACAAAAAAAGCTATTCTCATGTTCGAATCTGCAAAACATTTTGATTATTTAACTCCTTAAAATCAGACAGTTTACCTGCACCACAATCAGCCAAGTTCTCATTTTGCTTTTTTTCTACTTCATCCCCAGGCTTACTGTCTGAAGACTGCACACGTGTATTTCCACATTCTTTAAATGAGTCAGTCAAGTCTTGTTTCATCCATTCTTCCACATAACAGTCATCTTTCTTCTGCCACTCCTTACGTTTCTCGACTTTGCAGTCACATGATTTTACAGTGCAAACAGGCCTCTGATTCATTAAGTCTTTTGTAAGAAATGAAAATTGACTTCCACTATTTTCAGAACTTTGCAGTGCAGTGTGTTCCAACCCTAATGAGTCCTCCTCCCCATCTTCCTGAGATGGCTGCACATCAGGCAGCACCAGTTCCAGAAGCTGCTCAATTTCAGCACCTAGCATTGACAGCATGTCATGGGTCTTCAGGTCCAGTTGTTTCTCAGGTCTACCACCAGATGAAGACAGCCTTAGGGGAGGAGGCTCTACTTCCATCCAATCTTCTTGTGTAGCTTCTGCTTTAGGAACTCCAGACAAATTCAATTCCAGTTTCTTTGCCTTCCCTCCCAAAGAAAGCTGAACATCAGATGGAATCAGCTCTACTGTCTTCTGTCCATCGCTAACTGAAGGCCCCAAGTTCTCTCTCTCATTAAGTGATGGTAAGATTTCAAGAAATTTGAAAACTGCCAACTCCTCCGCCTCCTCACTCACAACTGGCAGCTCAAACGATTCCCGTTCCAACACTTTCTCTCTTGCTTCACTGCCAGAAGCTGTCTGCATTTCAAGTGACTCTATTTCCAGAGCTTCCTTTGTTTCTTCACCAAAGCAGGACTGCACTGAAAGTGCCTCTAGCTCCAGTATGAACTCTTTTAGATCATAATACGAAGAATGCATTTGTAATTGATCCAGTTCTACTAACATCCCCGTTTCATCACTCGAAGATGACTGCACCTGGAGCACTGGCAGTCTTTGCAGTTCTTCTTGTTTGTTTCCTAGGAAAAGACTGGCTACTGAAGCACTGCCTGTCAGTTCTGCTTTCAGCTCAGCATCCTCTCGAAACGGTACTTCAGATAACTCATGTTCTGCAGCTTTCATTTCACTCCCCAAAATATGAAGACTGCAGCTTCTCGTTGGTTCTAGTAATACATTGTTATTGCTTTCTCCTTCAGATAGAGGTATCTCTTTATCAAAGTTGCTTTGATGTTCATCTGTTTCACATCCATCATCCGCCTTTCCAGACATATACTCAACAGCTCCCACTGACGCATTTGCTTCTACAGTATTTGAACACCCAGAAGTTACACCCAGGAAAGGTTCAGAACAAAGTAAAGCACTTTCACTTTCTTCTTGAGCTAATCCACAAACAGCAGTAGTTTCTCTTTCAAGACAAAGACCAATATCATTGTTTGAACATCTGTTTTCCTTTAAGGGGTTCTCAAGGTTTGAGAAAGCATTGTCACCAGTTCCTTTATTAGCCTTCCAAAAAGACTTCATCTCTTCATTAATACTCCTGCCAGAAGCTTCCAGCTTGACAACAGACAGAGGGACTTCAGAAGCTTTATCTTCCTGAGTTTCTATTACTTCAGCTTCTAATAAGAGGTCTTCGGTCATATCATAAAACTTCTCTTTTGCTTCACTAAGCCATGAGCCCTCTGAGGAACTGAAACCTGACAGACAGCAAGCAAATGCTTGATTAGGTATTTTGAGCAATTCACATGGAATTTGTCTGACCATCTCCAAGCTAACAGCTTCCTCGCTTCCGTAATCCACATGCCTAACAACTACGTTGTCACCTTTTACACTGCTGACTTTAGCTCTGTAGAACTTTCCATCTTGACTGTATTTTGCTAGACAAACGTCACCACTTTTAATACAAGATCTGCAATCGTTCCAAGATTTTAGTCCAAGGTTTTCAGCTTCCTCTATTTTTTCCTCTATGTAATCCATGTCTTCTGTATCAGCACTGCGACTCCAAAAATATTCTGGACCATTTACCACTGTGACATAAGTTTTTACAGTCTGACCTGCCTCTGGAAACTTCCAGATAAATGATTTACAATCACTTACACTGGAAATTTCATTTTGTGCCTGAGGAGGCAAAGGCTCACACACAGTTACCATGTCACTGTTCTCTCTACCAAGTACTTCTGTTGAACAAGATCTTTCCCTACTTGCAAGATCTTCATCAGCTAAATCCACTGTTATAATACCTTGATGGTCACTGAGAATAACTTCCCATTTATCCTCAACCTTCTCTACAAATTCACACATTAGCAGAACATCACTTGTTCTCTTGATGAAGTAAAGCACTGCTTTCTCTGCCCAGGTTGTATTTTTTTTGCATTTAAGTCCACCTAGGAAGCAGTGAATACTTATTGCTGGAATAGATGACAAGTCTTCAGGGAGTCTGTGCGCTTGATCAACATTAATTACTGAAGTATTACCATAATCAATATATTGTATACTTATCAAATTGTCAGAAGTCTTCTCTGTTACTACAGCTCGATACCACAGGCTGTCTTCCGAATAAACAGCACTGATTAAGTCTCCTGCTTGGAAGAGTTGTCCACAAGGGTTCTTTGCTTGCGTCCTATTGTTTAAGTTTTCTGCAATGCTGTTAAGCTGAGCCTCATCACTTTCTAGTTGAACATAAAAATCCAACAGATCATTTACATGAGACACATACCCTGACACTTTAAGAGCTGGCACTATCTTCTGTTGCAGTAGATCAGATACATTTTTAAGCATTATACACCCGCCTTCAGCATCAGATTTAATATCTGACTGTGTATCCATCTGGACAGAGAGCAGAGACTCCTCCCCCACTTTATTTAACAAAAAAGCATCCTTCTTACTGCTAAACATTTCATCAGATTCTAGTAATCCAGCTGCCACATCTCCCTTCGTAGCAGGCTGGAAAGGGCTTACATCTTCTTCTTTGAAGTGACTTTTGCTACTGCCCCCTCCTCCCTGGGCTTCAGAGCTGCATTTTTTTCTTTCAAGAGACATACCTGCATTTAAAGGGGACTCTGCAGTCTCATTCCTCTCATTCACATCTGTGTTTCTAGAGCACAAAGTTTCATTTTCTACATGCCTACACAGTCCTGTATTGTTTATTAAGCTTAACTCCTTCAGTTTTGCATTAATTTGAGTATTGCCATCAACCAACTCAATCAACAGTTTACCATCAGATTCCTTTGCTACTACTATTGCTTTTAATTGCCTTTCTAGGACAGCTTGCTTAAACCATGTTGTAGCTTCTTTGGGAACATTAGATATATCAGATAAGGAACACTTTATGGCCTGCATTGGCAAAAGCAAGATATCACAAGCATCACTGGGTAAAGGAAGCAGATGATCTTTCTCTATTGTCTCTGTGTTCCCAAAATCCACAAAGAAGACTTCTGTATTAGGTTTTGTTTTCATAATTACCCCCCTGTACCAGTGATTATCGGTATACTTTGCTAGACACAAGCTCCCAGACTTTTGCAAGGTTCCTAAGCTGGTCATTGTTTCACTTAGGCGACCGATGTTATCGGTAAGCTGTGCTAAGACATCTGCACATCTTTCAAGCTGGCAGTAAAATGTCCATGGATCATCAACATGTGTAATATAAACGTCTTCCTCACTCCCAATTTTGATACCATGCATAGAATAATAGTAAGAATGAAGCTGAACCGAGGATACCAGAGGCTTTTGAGGAGATAGAGTTCTGGCCACACCTCTCTCAGTCAGAAACTGGCAAGCACTCTGAAAAGGTGTCATTAAATCTACAATGTTAAATAGCTCCTTATCGTTTATCGAAGCCAAGGCAAATATTGTACACTTCAGTTCAAAGTGAGATGCTGAAGTATCGACAAACTCCTGAAAAGCCTGAATCGCTGCTTCATCCCAAGCAAAAGGATCCGGACCATCTGGCTCGATTAAGTTGTAAAGGCTGCACCTGAATGCCTGAGCCTCTAACCTAAGAAAGCATTCATTAGTTGAGCGGAGGTTTGTTAGAGAGACCAGCTCTCTGTTGCCGTAGTCCACATATATGACTTCCACTTTTCCTGCAGAAGGAACTTCACTAACAATTAAAGCCCTGTACCACTTTTCATCCTCCGAGTACTGGGCTAAACATACAGAATTTGGCCAAGCATGTGGGTGGGATGAATTTTTACAATACTCCTGAATTTCAGCCATTAATACTTTAAGGTCATGGCAATTTCTACTTAACTGACACCAAAAATAACTAGGATTTTCAACACATGACACAACTACATTAACTGTGCTTCCTACTTCTAACTGACCTCCGTAAGAGGAACTTGGCTTCATTTCTACATAATTCTGCCTGCAAGAGATGGGCATGTTTTCCTTACCCTCATACTTCTGAGCAGGAACAGATTCACTACTTTTAGAATTGTGAGTGACTGCGACAGGGCGCTCTCTGACCATCACAGCCATGTATGGATTTAGTGTTCTGTCACTTCTCTTTAGATCAGATTCTTCTCCGAGCCTCTTCCCTGCATTTACTTGGTCTTCCTCCCCAGCACGTGCTGGGGAAGAGGCCTGGCTCACAGCCTTAACAGATGATTCCTGTAGAGTCTCAGGTATTTCACACCTCTGGTATTCAGCATACCCTCCCTGGGCCATGAGTTTACTTACACTTTTCTCTCCTAATTGGGACTGGTCAAAAATTTCAACCACGTATTTGTCACCCTGCATGCTCAGAAAATGAACCTTTAGTCCCTTGTTCAGTACAATCTCTCTGAAGGCAGACAGAGATGCTTCACTCCAACTCCCACTCAGAGCAGAGATACCTGCCAAACAACACTTCAGAGCTAAAGCAGGTAGTTCCCTGAACCGAGGAAGCAGCTCCTTTACCACACACCGATCTACAGTTTCCATACTGCCTCTGTCCACCAGGTGTATTTCTACCCCACTGTCCAGTACCCTGGTGATCACCGCTCGATAAAAGGCACCCTCTTTCCCACTGGCACAACAAAGGGATCCAGGCTGTAGGTCCCACCCGGCACCATCCAGCTTCGTGGCATGGGAGTAAAAATTCCACATGCTCTGCCTCAGCTGCCTGAAGAGCCGGCGATGCTCATGGAGCTGGAGCCAGAACTCGGATGGGTCTCGGAGGTGGGAGACCTGTGCGTCATGGAACGCACCCAACTTCAGATGCACACCGACTACAGGAGCAGAGGCCAAATCTTTGTGCATTAAAGCAACAGGAGGTGCTCCTGGTGGCAATTCCAGTTCTTCAGCTGTGGATTCTTCTACTTCCAGCTGCTCCTGAGCCTCAGTTTGGCTGACCTGTGTATGGCTGCTCACCAGGCAGCAAGCCTGCACCCCAAAAAGACAGTTCAAGTTGATGCCATTTTCCCCGTACAGGCTCACATAATAGACATGCTCGAAGGAGTTAAAGGCTTTGATGCGAGCACTCACTCCTTTGCCTAGCACCAATGCTTTCAGCTCATCAATGTGCGATGGGGACCAGCCACAACCCCCATCCGAGATACCCTGAAGAGCACATGGATAAGTCACCACAGGCATGCGAAAACACTCAACAGGCAAATGGCGCAGGTTAGCTCTGGTCACAGTCTCCTTCCTGCCATAGTCCACAAAGATCACCAGAGCCACTTGCTGGTCCTGCTCCCCAGCAATAAGCTCCAGCAGGAGTGCACGGTACCACTGGCCATCTATGCCACGGGCAGCACAGGGTGAGCCCACTTTGGGTAATAAATCCTGCTCCCACCGGTCATAAGTGTGGCGCATGGTATCAGAAAGGCAACGGATCTCCTGGGACAGGCTCTGCAACTGGCAGTAGATGTGGTGTGGGTCAGAGACATGGGTCACTAGAACAGGCTCTGTCACACCCAACTGAAGCTGCGGGTAGAAGTAATCCAAGGCAGGTGACACAGGCTGATAGGAGAGCAAAACATGGAGAAGCTGTGGCACTGCAGAAGTTGCAAGGGAACTTGCTGGAGGCTGCAGCTTGAGCTGGTTCCTTAAGTGGCCAGAAGTCAGGCAGCGCCTGAGCACCTGGCAGAACCAACTGGGAGTGACCTGCCTGGCCAGGCCCAGGTGATGCATCTGGGACACAAGCTGGGGCAGCTCAAGCACTATGAGCTGCGGTGTCATCACCTCCCGCACCAGGCCAGACACCTCCTTGCCATGCAGGTAGCTGAGGAACTCCATAGCCTCCACTGTCCAGGTGGAGACTGGTGCATCCCCACAGGATGCCACCCTGGGGCATCCAGAAGGCACGACATCAGCCACAATACAGCCCAGCACCTCAGGGGGCAGGTGGAAAAGTTCCTTGCAGCCCCGCGCCAGGTAATAGGCAGACGTGACCACCGTGCAGCCCTCATCAAGCAGGAAGACACGGTAGTCCTGGCCGCTGCGACTCACCACGCAGCAGCGGTACCAGAGCCCGACCACCTCCACCAGGCCCAGGTCTCCAGTGCACAGCCCAGCCCCGCCGCCCACCGGCCTGCTGGGACCGGGGG